TCATCAAGTACCCTTGTCAACTAGTCCGTCCATGTAGATTTGCTATCTCTGCATAAATCTTGGCTTTTTTAGGCCTCAAACAGGGCTTTTCTCTCCCATGTCAAGCCAGCAAGGCTCCTGATGAACTCTTACCCTTAGCTACGAGGACGTATGACCAGCAGTGACGTGGCTTTCTACAAAGTAAACCCGCGTTTGCTAATACTCAGCTGGCACGCAGCCTGTAGACATCTGCTGCTGGTAGGGCAAGGCCAAGCCTAGGCTGGGGGCTCGTCTGCCCCCGAAAGTTAACGCAGAAATGGGGTCGTACATGGGGCTTACAGAAACTCTCCCATATGGATGCTCCTGGCCTGTAGGGAAGGGGCGTCTTCTGGTTGTGCGGCTGGGGTATGGCGCTGCTAGGGGGATCCCAACGGGGAATTGTTTCAGCTTAGCCGATGCTTTGTGAATTTGCACCCCCACCTCCTCGCTGAGCGCTCCATGCCAACCAGCCCGGAGGAGTACTTCTCCCTTCCTCATGTTTTCCTTCGATCTTGCCTCCCCTTAGACAAGCCAAAGCTTTTTTCCCAAGCTCTTTATGACCAGCTGGTCATTAATTTCAGGTTAAGCCTCTGGGAATTCCGCTGTCGAGATCTCTCAAGGTACTGACTCCTAACGTAATGATAATTTTCATTTTTGGTGTGTTTCCTTGCAGTCTGAATACCTGCTTGCTAATTATCTGTCTCCTTCCCTTACTCAAGCGACGAGCCTAACGTTCTATCACCGCAGCGCACAGGAGGGTGAAAACCTGGTAATTCTCATAAAATCCTGGGAAAACGTCCAAATTCTTTATCAAAATGTGTATTTTGGAGCTCTGCTTCTCCAGATTATTTACTTGATTAGAAAGGGGTTTACTCCAGCTTTTATCTGACTGGTAACTGAAAGTTGAGCTCCGACAAGGGTTTTTATCTCCTTGTCTGTCTGTGATAAAACCTCCCATGATTTACGAGCCGTGCTGCTGGAACGGCACTGAACAGATTTTACAGGCCAGCCCTGATGTCTTCCAGTCGCAGCTGATGCTGATTGAATGGGATTATGTTCTGGCTCGTTAATTTTCTGGGCGTTGAGATGAAAAATGAGTGAAATACGTATGAAGCAAATTTTGATGTCAAGAAGAGGAAAGAACTTTCATGTCTTCTTGCCATTGACAGGGGTCAGACTTTCATGTTTCACAGAATCCCAGAATCCCAGACCGGCATTGGTTGGCAAGGCCCTCTGGAGCTCACCCAGTGCCACCCCCCTGCCCAAGCAGGCTCACCCAGAGCAGGGGGCACAGGACAGCGTCCAGGTGGGGGTTGAATATCTCCAGAGAAGGAGATTCCACAGCCCCCCTGGGCAGCCTGGGCCAGGGCTCGGGCACCCTCAAAGTCAAGAATTTCTTCCTCACGTTCACCTGGAACCTCTTCTGCTTCAGTTTGTGCCCATGGCCCCTGGTCCTGTCGCAGGGCACCACTGAGAAGAGTCTGGCTCTGTCCTCATGACCCCCACCCTTGAGATATTTGTATGTGTTGATGAGATCCCCTCTCAGCCTTCTCTTCTTCACATTTAACTCCTCTTCAGCAATATTCAACAGCTCTACTTCACTTTTATCCGTTGGCCGCAAAATAGCGGCTTCTCCCTGCTTCTGTCCCCTTCTCCTTTTATTCCCCTTTGCCTCACCGTTTCTTTTTAATTTACTGATAGCCTGGTGCAGAAGGGAGCGCCGGCACGCTCAACCAGCGAGCCCCCGAAACAGTTAAAAGAGATAAGAGATGTGTTTGGGTTGGCAAAGCCCCTGGCCGGGGAGCTGGAGGCGCGGGGCTGCCCGGGGCCGCATGGTTTGTGTTCCGAGGCCAGAAGTCCCCCCCTTCGATGGGAGTCAGCCAGAGTGCAGCCCAGCAAATGAAGTTTCTTCAAAGCTGCGTGTTCCGAGCTGGGGGATTTAAGCTGGAAGAACAGACAGTCTCTCGTCGGGTAGTATCTGCTTCCACGGAGTTTATTTTCTAATAAATGGGGAAATCCTTACCGAGCTGAGGTTCCTATGGGAACTTGCAGTTTGAGCGGTGCCAGCGGCTTAATGAGGAGTTCTGGTTAATAATTAGTCGAGCGGTACCGTAACGCAAGGTTTCGGTAACCGCTGAGGCATCGATCTGAACAGCGCTGCAGAGGTTACGTGGTGTTTACAGAAGATGAAAATCCCCTTCCCTTACTCATTGTTTTTAATCTATCCTGTTCCTGCCGGCCGGTCCTCCTGCGACCCGACAGTGCCCCTCGTGACATTCATCCCAAGGCATTGCGTAAAAGGAGCTCGGAGAAATGGCTCCGGCGAGCCAAGCTAAACAAGCAGAGGAGATGGAAGCAGAAAACCGCCTTGGCGCTGCCGCGCGAGGAAGGGAGGTTGGGAGCTGGAGATCTCCAGAGCCTAAAATCTCAGAACTCCAAAGTCTTGCAGATGAAAATCGCTGGCGGCCCCGGACCGCGAGGCACAAGGGGAACAGGAAGGGTCAGGCAAAGGGCTGAGACCAGTGGCTTGGGTAGAGTCATCTTTTCCTGGGACTGCAGTGAAAAAAACAGTTCAGGCATCTCTTACTGATTTATTTTTTTTAAGTTTGTTTCATGACTCAAAGACGGGGCTACTATTTACTGCTTATTTTATCTAACGCTTCACCAGGCTGTTAAAGAATACCTGGTATTTATATGGTATTTATCTGCCTGGGCAGCTGCATCCCATACCACTTGACGTTTATATGGTGGTGGGTGGAGGGATCAGACCGAGCCGGCGCCGTGTCCCACTGGATTTACTGCTACGTTGCCAGGGCTCGGTAGGCTTTCCCCGGGGAAGCACGGGCTGGCGTAAAGGGAGGGTACGCAGCGCTGTAGCTTCCTTTCAGAAGGGTGCGGTGTTTCCCTGTTTTGTTGCAAAACCTTAATCTTGACCTAATTGCATTTAATGCCCGCCCCCATATTCGGGAGCCTAAACCACCACAGCTATCGGAGCTGCGAGTTCCCGTGCGTTGGACAGGCCTCTTGATTTACTTTACTTACCACTTGATTTACTGTATAGGAATATTTTCTCTTGCGATCTTGGAAAATAAGCCTTTTATTGGCTCGGATTGCTAAACCCTAGTTGTGTTGTGGTGAGGGATCGTTAGCACAGGCTGGTGTTTGTTGTGAAACGAAGAGGAGAAGATGGTAAAAGCACTTGCTCCGTCGTCTGCAAGCACGATTATGGGGGTGCAGCTGGCAGCTTTTTCAGCTAGGGGAAAAGGGTTTTACCCAGTGAAGACACTGGTCTGGTAGCCTTTTCCATTAGCGTGAAAAATAAGAATTTTAGAACCGAACCAGAGCTTTTTCACAAGAAAATGAACACGTTAGAGGGACGAGATTTAATGACAAAATGTGTTCAGGAGACGCAAATTCCCTGGCCTGTAACCTACCCATTGAGAATTTAGTTCAGGTGAGAGCGATGAGGTGTGAACTGTCTTGGGGGTTTTTTGGTGACGCTGAAGCAAGCTTACCAGGTGATTCCAAAATCTGCTGGCAAACGCCTGGTTAACCATCACCAGGGGTGCTTTGGGGTTTTGGGTGGTGAGGCGAGACAGAGGGTCCAGCAACACTGGGATGTGGGTGTAGCAAATGAAATCTCAAGGGAGGTTTACTCGCATCTTCCTCCTTCGCAGCTTTAGTTTTTGAAAGAACGAGGCTTGGGTTACTCATCTGTCCCTCTGTTCCACCGACTGTTTTCTGAGCCAAACTCAGAGGAGAGGGGGGGAAGCCTCTTCCGTCCCCGCAGCTCTCCCCTAAGCGGGATGGCAGAGGTCGAGGACGGAATCATAGAATCACCTAGGTTGGAAAAGCCCTTTAAGATCATCAAGCCCAACCGTTAACCTAACCCTGCCATCCTACCACCAAACCCTGTCCCTAAGCACCTCATCTACCCTTCTTTGAAGTAACTCCAGGGATGAGACCGCCTCCCCCCCCCCCCCCCCCAGCTCCCCCCTCCTCTCAGGCAGTTGTAGGGAGCAATGAGGGCTCCCCTCAGCCTCCTCCAGGCTGAACACCCCCAGCTCCCCCAGCCGCTCCTCATAAGCCTTGTGCTCCAGACCCCTCCCCAGCTTTGTGGCTCTCCTCTGGACATGTTCCAGCAACGCAGTGTCTTTAATCGGCGCAGCCGAAACTTCAGTTCCCACGTTCTGTTTAGCGGCTGTGCCCTTGCACGCCTCTGGGGTTCATTTCTTGGGAAGCAATGCAAGGAGGGAGGGGGTTTGGACCGCTGCGGTGCGGGGAGGTGAGGTGGGAGGGTGCAAATCCCGGGGTGATGAACCTTCCTTACCTTTCACAGCTCACAAAAGAACTCATTTTGCTAGGCACTGTGCTTCTCAGGGTCAAAACTGATGATCGCTTACTAGACAGAACGCAACGGCCTTGCACTTGCAACACTGAAAACCTCTTATTTTGTCTCCCAAGTTCGGTGGCCGTGTTGGGCTGCAGGATATCGGTAGGTTTTCACAGTATTTTCCCTCGAATTAGATACCTGCTGTGCTATAGATTGGGTGTCGCGTATGGAAGATCCCTGCGCACCTTACTTAGAGCTTCTCATAGTCCGGCTCCCGCTGCGGTAGCGTTTAATCTTCGGTGCTCTGTCTTTTTGACACTATTTCATTGCTGAGTGAAGAAATGTAGCGCCTAGAAGTGTGCTGCTCCCGTTGTACGTAGAAGGAAGGCTTGTCAGCCATCGGCACGATGAGGTTTGCGTCACGTCAAACCTCTCCGCTTGACTCACCGGCACCCTTCAAGCTCGTACCTTCTCGTGCATTCAATTTTTGCTGCGTATGGCTCTTCCCTGTCAAAGACATACAGCGTGCCTTGTTTCCCCTGTGAAGCTTGAATGCGTGTGGATACCTTCCTTCTGAAGATACCAACAGCACGTAAATGTGTACTTAAAACCGACCGCTTGATTTCATGCACGTGTCTCCTCTGCGTAGGTACGCTGTTCTTTGTGGGCAGCTAGCGGAACATGAGAGCATTCAGAAGCGTATTCAAACCGGATACGTTTTTAAGGTGAGTAGGAAGGACGCGCTGGGTTTTGTGTAAGTAGCAGACAATGCTTATTTCTGTAGCAGTAAGTTAGGAAAATTGGCTCTACCCCTTCTTAGGGCAGCGATAAGGTCTCAGAGAGATGCTACGAGTGGGTGGTTTGGGCCGAGGAAGGTGATTCCGGCGAGGTGTGATAAGGGTGACTGGTCTGGCGCTGCGCTTTTGCACGCTATAATCTCAGAGGAAAAGAAGAAGAAAAGCCTTGCAAGCACCACGTGCGTATATGGTGAGGCTGGGAACTTAAAACACGTGGTAATAAGCCACAGCACCAACGTCCTCAGCAGTAACCACCCATGAGCATGCTGGCACCCTCCCATAAACACGGGGCAGTTCGCTTTCAGAGGGGATTTAATCTGCCTTGGGTTCCTTTATCTGCCTCTCATCCGCAGCGGGGGGTAAGAGGATGTGCCCCCAACAGTTACTGCAGAACAGGCCATGGGTAATTCTGACCTCGTCAGCGGCTGACGTGACCCGTAAGTTGGTTACGTCAAAGCTGTGATGAGGTGGTAGAATAAAATGAAGGGCAGCATGGTTTAGTGGTGGGATGGCAGGGTTAGGTTAAAGGTTGGACTTGATAATCTTAAGGGTCTTTTCCAACCAAAGCGATTCTATGATTCTATTCTATGATTCTTTTTTTTTTGTGTGTGTGTAGCACTTCTTGTCTCTGCTGGTTTTCTGGGTTCACTGAAACCATTTTAAGACAACTTGGAATCTCCTTGTAGCTATAATTTTGCTGATCGCTGACATTTAAAGTATGGACTTTTGGACTTGTGGACCTTTCCTCCTTCCCCATTTGTTCATCTTGCTCTTGTGGATATTGTGTTTGCTTCTAACAAAAACGTAATGTGTGTTGGTGATGATTCTCCACAGGAACACATTGATAAAGCGATTGACCTGAAGCCAGAGGATCCAAGGTCTTACTATCTCTTGGGCAGGTGGTGTTACCAGGTAAAGTAGGTTATTACTACTTATTTCTCTTCTCTTCCTCCGTGGAATTTAATTCCCCATTTGAATGAAAGATGGGTGGTTTCACCACCGGCCCTAAGGACTGGGGATGCTCTTTAGGTGCTGGACTCGGGGATTGTATCAGAAAGCGTAGGTATGGGAATGTCCCAAGAAGTCGTTTTAAAAGTTGCATTTGCGTGGGGTCTAGAAACTCTTCATTTCAGCCCAGGAAAAACCCGCCACCAATGAATGCTATGAACGCATTGCGTTCAGAGACCTCTTCCGA